CCCACCCCCACCCGATCACACACACACACACGCACACACACACACGTAAATAAATAAATAAATAAATAAATAAATAACTTATTTTTATATTTTATTTTTTATTTTTAATTTGGTGAAGATTTTCGATGTGACCTTGAGGCAAACGTTGTTCAGTTTATTTTTCTGCATAACATAGTTTTTTTCCGGAATTTTTGGACGATGTCCGTTTTTTTTTTCCAACGGGATTCAACGGGGATTCAACGGGATTCAACAAGGATTCAACGGGATTCAACGGGAAGATTTTTTTTTTGGTTCACGTGCGTCCAGCGTCATGTCCGAGGCCCAATGCACCCTCCCCGTTGAACAATATTCAACGGGAAGGGCCCGTTGTACCATTCAACGGGAATTCAACGGGGCCCCGGGGGCTATTCAACGGGTACAACGGAGTTGAAACTTTCCCATTGCTCGTTGAATAGAAACATAGAAGTACGCGGTCCGGTTAGAGGAGGGCTTTGACGTGGAGTGAATGGTGGACAAGCTCCTGGAAGGTCATAACGATCTGATGAATCTGAAAGATATCTTGGCGTCAGCACCAAGGCTCCGTGGTGAGCTGAAAGGGCGGCTCTCACGCAGGTTAGTGCCCAACGTCCACCTAAGCTCGATTTTGCCCAGGGAGATAGAGTGGACAGAGGCGGGTACCAAGATGGATTGGAAATGTGTGGCATGTGGGTTAGTGGATTTGAAGGTGAGAGACCAGCCGAGCATTGCAATGGTGGACACGGGCGCTGAGATGAACATTATCCGGGAGCGAGATGCGACCATGCTAGGGCTGGAGGTCGACCATTCGGACCATGGTGTGCTGCATGGCGCCAATCGTAAAGCAATTTTCTGCGGCACCGCGTCTAACGTGATGGTGGAAATTGGAAGGGTAAGAGCACGAACGTGCTTCTTTGTCATGCCCGATGTCGACCACCCTATCCTTTTGGGGAGGTCGTTCCTCTGCCGAACGGAGACCTTGGTCTTCAATAGGCACGAGGGGACGATGATCCTAGCCCTATCTGATCCGGCCTGCGGGAACTATGAGATCATGAAGTGCCGGAGCATAGGACCTGGAAGTGGGAGAAACAGGCTCAACCTCGGCTCCTTTACCTTCGAGGAGTCAGAGTATGCATGACGAAGACTACGGGAGGAACAGGAGGAGGGAGGAGCGGGCGAGGTATTGTCCCGTGGGGGACGTAGCCACTATCCACGCATCGATCTGAGCATGCAGTCCGTAGCTACAAAAACGCAGCAAAAGAAAGAGAAGGAGGGCGGGAAAGACGAGCGCAAGAAGAGAGATACAGTTACAATGGCGCCAACCCAAAATTACAGTTACAAGCCCGATTAAAGGCGCCGACTAATCAGAATTCCGTTGCAGCCGCATAAAGAAGCGCGTAAGCAAAAAGGCGCCGTGCAGAAAACGAAAGTCCTAATTACAAAATTCCTCATTTCCTAACTAATGGGAAAAAGCAAAAGTACAGGTTCCGGAAGGGAAGTCCGAAATTCCGAGAGCCATCGGGGCTCGACAAAATTCGAAGAAGAATTCAAAAAGAAAATTCAAAAAAAGAACGAAGCAAATTCCCGCGCGATGTCCGCGCCCAAAAAAAGTTCCGAAAATGAACCGAAAAGAAATGATGTCAACATTTATTAATTGCGCGCCTGGCGGCGCGCCAGCCATCCGACGAATCAATCATCCGTCCCGGGACACACCCAGCTCCGAACTCAGCCCTCCAAAAAAAATCGACGCAAAAGACGAAGAAGCGAGGGTACTGATGCAATTTCCCGTCCATCCCAATCTCCTGTAATTGGCCCAACCTTCCCAGCGTAGGACCCCTCATTGCAACCGCGCAGAAAATCGCGCGCTACAGAAAGTGGTTTGTCACATGCTTAGGACAAAATTGATTACTCTGGGAGGTACCAGAGGATTACCCGCCTAAGCAGAAGGAAAAAAAAAGGCTTACCGGATAAAACGTTGGAGGGAGAGAATGATCTCCACAGAGTTGATAGCTCCGAATGTACCGGTGGATTGACCTCTTGAGCCAGACAGGTAAAAAACACAACACAAAGTTTTGCCATCACCCACTCATTAAGTATTTGGTTGTTTGATGACCAGAACCACCCGACGTTCCCCCAGTTCTCCTCGAAGAGGTAGAGCTGCCTTCATACTCCGGGAGGCACCTGACTGCCCACCTCCACAACTCGTGACAGAGCCTACAACCAGACTTGAACAGGAGCCCTTTCACTTACCAAAGGAATGCTCTACTACCTGAGCTATGCTCGCTCACGGGGAAAGTTCATACTTGCAAAGCATGGGTCTACCAACGTGAACCGATAACTTCGTACTGCGAAGAATGTGGTCTACCCGTATCAGTAAATGTCAACGATATATAATGCATTTTGGGAACATAAGTCTCGAAAATTGGTAAGGGGTCAAAGGGGAAAAGACGTATCGAAGTGAGTCCGGTCATTGAAGGTCGGCCCATAGTCCCGTTTAAATGTCCCTTCCCGCTGATTCTCTCCCTGCTCACCTTTCCACGTCACCGATGCAATCCAACCCCCTTTTCCCCACCCAGCCAGCCTTTGCAGAAATCAATTATTTCATTTTGAATCTACCCGGCCGAATGGCGATGGTCTTGGTAGAGGCAACCCAGGGGACGATCCGGACAACCATTAATGCTAGCTGACATGAAGGTGAAGACGGCATAACGACCATTTCGTCAAAATGGACATTTTTTATTTTTTGAACGAAATTGAAACTGAGTTTTTTGTCAGAAAACTCGTCAAAATTTGTTGTTCCTGAGGGTCCAGCGTTTGTTTAAAACGCTGGACCCTCAGGAACAACAAATTTTGACGAGTTTTCTGACAAAAAACTCAGTTTCAATTTCGTTCAAAAAATAAAAAATGTCCATTTTGACGAAATGGCAGTTGCATACAGACTCTTAAGGCACTGGTGGGCTTTGAGAGACATAGTACGTGATAGATGGCAGAAACACCTGAATGTTGGTGCCGAGGTGCTCCAACCCATTCGGTGGTTCAAAGAGCATAATCTGAAGCCAGCGAAAGTCTCTTCACTGCAATAGCAAATGGCACACCGTTGCCTTCCAACCAACAGCTGGCTGATTGATCACACAACCCTCGAACAACAAGGCCAGAGCCTCCCCTGGTGCAAACAGTGTCTGCGTAGTTAGCCCGCGCAGAAGAGGCCCGAAATTGTCAAGCATATCTTCTTGCAGTGCCCAACGACAGTGCTGATGTGGCGTTGGTGGGAAATGGTCCCTGATATG